ATAATCAAAGAAATAAATGAAAAGTAAACAAACTGAACGTTCTACTCGCAACCCTCTTGTGGATCGGGCTCTGAATCTTGGTCCTCTTGATTTGGAATGGTTAATAAAGGAGTGAGATATACTAGCCCAGTAATAATGTCACGCTACTAACTGATACAGAAATGAAGGTTGGTAGAAATAATAAAAACAACTAATGAAACTCTTAATTTAAGTAAAATTCGTTTATCATAAATAAATCATTTATCGCATGCTTACCACAACGAGATTTTCAAAACTAACCTATAGAGTTAAGAGCATAAACAATACAATAATCTCATGTGCAATCAGTCAAAATAATAACTTTTCTCTTTTATCAGCCTACTGGTATTCATGAGTGTTCATAGGAATATCTCAACTATACGTGAACCTTTATTAACATTTTCAAATAACGGGCCGTCCCCATATCCTGTCCAGTATGAGCACCAAAAGATACCATCCCTCAATACCCCGTCCGGTATAAACGTCAAATTACAAATCCTCGATACCCGTCCGGTATGAGACAATGTTCACAATAGGGTTTCCTATGTACCTGGTTCGTCTACCATCTCTTAGGATATCCAGTACAGCTACCGTTCATCCATCCACATAATTAAACAATTTTCCGTTTATCTTTAATTTTTAGTTTTCCAATTTAACCGTAATCACATAAAACAAGCAAAATATGCATCAAGGAAAATACAATCGCATCATCATACCAATTCCAGCATATTATTATGCATTCGAAAAACTGTAAGATTAGGCAATCAGTTAAACATAGCAAACAACAATAAATAACCAGTTCCGGCTCCATTAGTAACCTGTAATTAATTATGAATATTTTTTAAATTTTACAAAATACCATATTATTTAAAATTAAACTTCAATTTCATAATAGAAAATAAGTTGAGAGATTCTTAGTCAAATTGATGTCAAAATTGGCGGTCCTCGAGTTTCCTAAATTTTTCTGTAGAGATTAAAACGCGGTTCAAGTACCTATAAATACTCCAAAAAAATCTAAATAAGTGTTAGGAACCTCAAATCTAGTCTTTCATGCATATTATATAAAACATATTGAAATTGACTAATATGAGAATATATTGCTAAAACTTTAAGTTCATGTTTTTTCTTATAAGGATCAAATTATTGATATTTTTATAAACCGCTTCTAAAAGAAGATTTTCTCTAATTTTGGAACTATTTACGTTTTTATTCCACAATGACATCAGTTTGGGAGGGAGTGTTATCTAAATCATAATTTCACAATCCTCTTTAATTTATTTATCATAAATATTTAATTTATTATTTATATATTTTTTTAGTTTAAATTATATTCCAATGCGTATAAATATAGAAACACAATTATAATATGAAATATAATGCAATTTTTTTTTTAAATTTCTTACGTTATATTATATTTTACAACAGTCTATTGAAAAGTTATATAAATAATTTATTTTTAACAAGTTTTTTTTTATTATAATTTATTTTATATTTATTATTTTATTTACTATTAGTTTACACTACTTTTATAAATTCATATATATTTTCATATATCGAGATCATCATATTTTATTTATATGAATTAAATGTACTTTCTGTCATTATTAGTATATGATTACTCTGAGTCTAGGGGGTGGATCAAACAT